GGCCGGTGTCCCCTGTCTGCGCCATGGGACGGCTCCCGGTGCTTCCGGCGCCTGCGGAGGGCCGCGAGCTGAGCATGCGCGGAGACACACCGCCGCCCCGTGGGCACTGGTGACTCAGTCGCCGGCCTGCGCGTTCTGCCCTCTGCCCTCTGCCCTGGCCCTGGCCCGAGACTCGGTCGCCCCGCGCCGGAAGCCTTCCTGAGCCTGTGGCGGGTCTCCCGCGGCCCAGTTCCCTTCCTCCCGGGTGTCCTGAAGCTCCATCAGGTCTTGGCCTCTATTCTTTCTAAACCCACTGGGTGCTGGGGACGGGGTGGGGTGGGGTGGGGGGGCAGGGTTGGGGGAAGGGACTGGATGTGTTGGGTCTTCTGACCTAACTTCTCCGTTTAAAGATCACCTTTCCTTTGGAGCTTCTTCTGAACCCCCCCTCCCCTTTGGGCTCCTTTCTGCCCTGTCCCACAGGCCCAGACTGCGTGACAACAAACATTTGAGTGAAGGAGAGTCTTTGTTTGGGATGGTGGATGCAATGGGAAGACAGTCTTGGCAGGATGGCTTGTCCTCACCTGACCTAATCGGTGATACAGTGGCCAACACTAACAAATACAGCAGGGGCTGCTGCTCCAGGTGTGGGAGACAGACAGACATGAGTATAGCAAGAGGACCCGCCAGGTACAGAAGGTCACCAGGGTGGGGCATGGGTACCTGGTAAAGGGAACATTCTAAGAACAAGGGTCTCGCCCCAGCGTGACTTTTCCTCCCCTGGCATGTCGCTAGTCATGCTGATTTGCCCCTTTGGAGAGGAACAAGGGGGCTGAGGACAGCCTTTAAGCACGAAGCCCCAGGGACAGTGAGGTTCTGACCCTCATCCAATACATTTAGGCCTCAGTTGTGTTTCAGCTCCGGGCTCAGAAAAGCAGCAAAACCAGACAAGTAACTTCACAGCTGGCCACAGGGCCAGCTGCATTGACTAAGACCTGGTGCCGACCAATCAGGGCGCACCTGGCAAGCTGATGAATATTCTGTTGGGTCATCCCCTGGGATCTCTCCTAAAATCACCCTTAAAAGCCCTTTGGACAGCGGACCCAGCATGGTCTCCCCGCTCAGGAGCAGGCTGGTGTCTTTCCCCTTCCCTCTCCTTCCCACGGGTGCATTACCTTTACCCTCTTCTCTTAAGCTCCAAAGGCCCTTTTTCTTTTTCCTTTTCTTTTCTTTTTCTTTTTTTTTTTTTTGCCTCTGTAACTTGTTTCCTGAGCCCATTTCTTCTAGAAATTACTTTCTCTACCTTTGTGATTTGCCAAATAAATGTTCTCTTATAGTTTGAGTCTTGGCTCTGAATGCTTTCCTAGCCAGAACTCAAGTACTGAGGTTGCTGAACCCAGGTCCTATCTGACCCCACGGGTCTAACAGCAGGTGCCATTCTCGCAGCCGTCAACATAAACTCTAATCTACTCACTCATTTCCCCCCAGACGTTCTTCCTTGTTTGGCTCTACCACTTCACTAGGGAAGAAGATTCTATATTATCCTCTTTTCTTTGACACTTCAGCCACCTCAAGAAAACAACAGATCAGCTGCCCTGCTTTGTGACTTACCATGCTGTTACACACAGATGTTGGGTTATGTCTGTAAATAGAACATTAAAGGCGTCCCTTATAGTCACTTGTTTTACAAGAGATCAGCAGCCTGCTGAGCTGTTAGGCCAGAGCTTTCCAATGCCCTCACTTCACTTTGAAAGGAGTTTTAGGGACAAAATAGGCAGCTATACTCTGTAGCCGGTATGCAAAATAAAATTTTCTTTCCCCCACTACTTGAGGAGGCAGTCCCGAACACTATTACGCGCCAATATTCGGGTTTTGCAGAGTTTTCATAATAGTAAGGTCTACCCGCGAGGGAATTAAATTTTCGTGCCTGACTGTCCAAAACCGCTCGTCTTTTCAGGGTGGGCGGGGGGGGGTGGGAAGGTGCCACAGGATAAGGGGAGAGGAAGACATTCATTCACAGAAGATAAGGAAAAGCCACAGCATATGGGGAAAAAGGGAAACTGAAAAATCAGACAGAGGCCGAAAAACCAGGACTACAGGCTTTATTAGAGGAGAAGGACCTGCCGGGCTGTCTCGCAAGGGGAGAACAGCAGCACGTGCAGGGGTGGGCACGCCTTTTGAGGGGTGGAATGGGAAGGGGTGGGGGGCTTAGTGTACTCGGCACACACTGATTGGTGGCTTACTGCATTGTCCATATAGGACAAGGGCTTAGGGTATTTGGCAGGTGTGGATTGGTGGTCCAATGTATAGTCCATATAAGGTACCTGGTTAGTCACTCAGGTATTTCTGGGCTGCAGGTTACGTCATACCCCGCCCACCAGTTGGGGGAAGGGAGGATCTATCAGAAACAAACTTTCACAGAGGGTAGAGAAATGTCTGCCGATAAATGGGAGAAAGAGGAAAACAGATTTTCATAGGCGATAGAGAAATGTTACAAGATAAGGGGGAGAGAAAAAGGGGGGCACCAGGTGGGGTTTGGGCTTTGAAGGTGATATTCTGCCAAAGGAGTGACCAATTAGAAGGGAGTATCAAGAGACAAAGAACTACAACCTTTATAATCCTTTACAAAAAAGAGTTTAGTGGGCTACCCCTGGGACCCCCTCCTTATGTGGGAGTCTGTATTTGTTCCCAATAAATTTCCACTCTTTTCATCTATCACCTTTTGTCCATGGCTTCATGCTTCCAATCCATCTGGACAAGGAACCAAGAAAGAAATCACCCTTGCATCCTGCTCAGGAAAACAACCCAAATCAACTCACATGACTGAGCCATCACAATAATTGTAAGTATATAATAAGCGAGGTGACTACAATGGCCAGAGTTGACCACCTTGACGAGATCATCACTGGCTTCTCCTGGCCTGCCAGGCCTTCTGAGGGCTGATGGGAAGTAGTTCTGCTTCCCTTCCTGCCCCCACCAAACACCTTTGCCCACTTGCTGCACCAGGTTGGGGAGTTCTGTGGAGGTTCAGGCAGGGCCCCATTTTAACACCCGCTTATCTAAGCATTTAGGTGGCTCCAATCCTAGCCCTCCTCCACATATAAGCCTAGTTCAAAGTCAAGTCTAAAGACCCACCCAAGATGAGAGGGATCAAATCCTTGCCATGAAGGCTGAAATGTGATGTTGGATTTGTAGGGCACTTGCAGGATTTCCTGCGGACTAGCACTTGCGGACGGCTTAAAACTAATTAAAAGAAACAGTTCTTCAACGCAATATTGTACAAATAATGGGACCATACACTAGGTCCATGGTTGGCAAACTGCGGCTCGCGAGCCACATGTGGCTCTTTGGCCCCTTGAGTGTGGCTCTTCCACAAAACACCACAAAATACCACGTGCGGGCCCGCACGTACAGTGCGATTGAAACTTCGTGGCCCGTGCGCAGAAGTCGGTATTTTGTGGAAAGAGCCACACTCAAGGGCCAAAGAGCCGCGTGTGGCTCGAGAGCCGCAGTTTGCCAACCACTGCACTAGGTGGTCACAGTCAGTGGAACTTCCAGTCCTGCTCAGGACTTTCCAGAACTACAAAAGTAAACTTCAGGCTGACCTTGATTGGTGGCGGGATTTCCTATTTGGGGTCTACAGCTCTAACGTGAGAAAGCGGTTTCTCATATTGGCCCTAACTTAGCATCTTACTAGCTACTGTCTGCTCTGGTCTGGTTCTGCCTCTGTTCCTCTTGGTGATGACCCCAGCACCCCAGGATAAAGATGGTTGTAGAATATTGTTGCCTAATCCCTCCCTGACCTGGTTACTTCCCTCTGCTACGTAGCTGTTAAACCTTGAGGGCCCATTGAAACTAAGGGCCCTAGCAGGTTTGGCTCAGTGGATAGAACATTGGCTCATGGACTGAAAGGTCCCGGGTTCAATTCTAGTCAAGGGCACAAGGACATGTACCTTGGTTACAGGCTCGATCCCCTGCCCCAGTCAGGGCATTTCTGTCTCTCCCCCTCCCTTCCACTCTCTGTAAAATTTAATGAAAAAATATCCTCAGAAGAGGATTAACAAACAAACCAAGATAAACCATTGAAACCAAGGGTCCTTATGACTTTGACACTTTACAACTCTACTGTGTTACTATGCTTTGAAGAAATACTGTTTTCTGCTAATTTTGCAACTGGTTTCTATCTACCTTTTATTCCAGGCTATGAATGGCAGGGCAGATTTTTACAGTCCAAGCTAATTTTTACTTTCTCATTTATAATGTGATGGTTTTGAATTATTCTTTTTTTAAAAAAAAATATTTTATTGATTTTTTACAGAGAGGAAGGGAGAGGGATAGAGAGTCAGAAACATCGATCAGCTGCCTCCCGCACACCCCGCACTGGGGATGTGCCTGCAACCAAGGTACATGCCCTTGACCGGAATCGAACCTGGGACCCCCCAGTCTGCAGGCCGACACTCTATCCATTGAGCCAAACTGGCTAGGGCTGAATTATTCCTTTAGACATTAAAAAACAACAACAGTCTGCCAAAGAGGTCCACAGAGAAAAGTTAAGAGGCCTTGCTCTGAGCACACTAATTTTCTGCACTAATTTTAGTGTAAGAGGTTAACAATATCTTTTTTAAAAAAATATATTTTTATTGATTTCAGAGAGGAAAGGAGAGGGAGAGAGAGATTGAAACATCAATGATGAGAGAGAATCATTAATTGGCTGCTTCCTGCATGCCCCTTACTGGGGATCGAGCCCGCAACACGGGCTTGTGCCCTGACCAGGAATCAAACCATGGCCTTCTGGTTCATAGGTGAATGCTCAACTACTGAGCCACACTGGCCGGGCAACAATATCTTGATGTTAACAAAATATTAACCACTTCCTCCCCCCTGACCCAAAGCCTATGAGACAGGTATAGCTTAACTGGTTTAAACAAATACATCAACTATATATAGGGCCTATTTTCAGATTTTTATTCGCAGTTTCACTTACCTACAGCAGAATTTATTATAGATCAAAGATAACAAAGAATAACTTAAGTGTGAATTTAATAAAATTTAAAATTATAATATTTCTTTCAAGGAATTAGAGGGGCAATCTATTTAATATGCGATACTTTTAAAACAAACAACCAACTCTGGAACTATAGTTAACATCTCACCCTAATCCTAAATCAAGTAATTTTGGATTTACACTCTTTTGATACCACTAATAATCTGGTCACTATTTAACAGGAAAGGAGTAAAGGGGAGACTAGATAATATAGACATGCCATTTACACAGCTCTGCTAATTTAGCACTCTCCAAGTCTGTTCCCCGATGATTGATGGAGGAAGGGACTGAACAAAGGCAGTTTGGACACATGCCCCGTAAGGTCTGAGTGATGTGTGAAGGTTCCTATTGTCTGTCAGTCACACCTGGGAGTGAGTCAGTGGCCAGAATAGGTGTGGCCACTGCAAGGGCTCGAAACCTAAATATTTAAACTTATGAACAAAGGGAGTTCCTACCTTTTTGCCTCTCTTGGCCTTTGGCCCACAGGCCCTCTTGGGACTCTTGTTGTAGGGGGCTCACTCCCCTGTGCCCATATGGCCCACAACCTTGAGGGCCCCACACATAATGGCCTAATGGACTGTAACTAGCCTGAATGCTAAACTGGACCCAGCTGCAACATGGAATGGAAGCTCTGGCATTGCTTTTGGCTCTGCTGGAACCCCAGCTACACCTCTTTCAGGACCAGATTAAGGGTCCTGGGACTTTACAACCCGAGGAATGCAAATCCACACCAATAAAGTCATCTACCACACCTCACTCTCACATGGGGGCTTCTGAAAATGCTCATTTCAGCTGTACCCCAAGAACCCCATTCTTACTCGTATCTGGGAAATGTGGCCCATTAATTCCTCCGGTAACACTTTTACTTGTTACATTAAATCTCTTAAACCAGTCTTTACAATTCTGTATGTATTTATTGAATATACGGGGGTGAGCAAAAGTAGGTTTATGGTTGCATTGTGACATTCTTTTGAGTTAATAAAGCTATTGTAATAATCATAACCTGCATGTTTTTTTCTATACAAACAACTGTAAACTTACTTTTACTCAACCCTGTATTTTTTACAGTTTATTCTCAAGAAAACCATCTTTAGAATGAAAACTTAACTTTTCTCCATGTATATCAGACAAAAAGAAGCAGTGTCTACCACTCAGTAGAGGAAATACATTAGTATTGAGGTTTCGACACAACTGGCATTTACTATATTTAATCCTCCCCAAAACCCTGTGACAAAGGTGTTATTACTTCCTACTTTCAGACTGAAGAAATGTAGGCAGAGATATTGAGTAACATTCCCAATATCACACAAGGTATAGATGTCCAGCAGTCAGACCCAGAACCTGCTCCTATCCCTGTGTCCTGCTTCTCAGGTTCACTATTATATTCCTCCTCCTCTTACCCTTCCACCTATCCTCTTTCTTTGCCTCACCCTTCTCCTTCCCTTCCCTTCCCCTTCTCCCTCTCCCACCCTATCCTCCTCAAAGAAGTGAATGGATACATATGTGTATTCACAGCAGGGGATCTTTCCTTTTCCTGATGCTTATACCAGTTTATTTCCTCTTTCTACATGTGGGCATCACTGACAGCCATGTAAGTAGCCTTCTAGGTTAAGAATTAGAATTCACTTCATGAGTTTGCAATTTTCCATCGATGGCTTATTGGGATTTTAACTCAGGGCCTTGAGGTTGTCAGTGTTAGCTCCCATTTGCTTTAGATCCGAGGTTGCCAACCCTGACAAGTGATGGAATCACCTGTGGAGATTTTGCCACATCCCAATGCCCACTCTCACGCTTCATTCACATGTAACTGGTTTGTTTGGGCCTCAAACAACTCTGGTGATTCTAATATGTAGCCAGTGTTGAGAATCATTGCTTTAGAATGGTTTCAAGGGCAGATTTCATTAATCCTTTAATTTAAAAAATATATATTTTTTTTATTGATTTCAGAGAGGAAGGAGAGGAGAGATAGAAATATCAATGATGAGAGAGAATGGTCCACTGCCTCCTGCATGCCCCCACGTGCATGGGACTGGGAATCAAATTGTGACCTCCTGGTTCATAGCTCAATACTCAACCACTGAACCATGCCAGACAGGCTCTCTCATGTTTTTGAGACCCATATGCTCTGATCTATAAAATCAGATCTTCTCTTCCATCTCCTTAAAAAGCGTATGTATTATATGGTATATACATGTGTATTTGAAAACCAAACTCTGCTGTGGTTTCTCTCTTTCTCTCTCTTTCTTTCTTTCTTCCTTCCTTTCTTTCTTTCTGCTTTCTTGCTTTCTTGCTTTCTTGCTTTCTCGCTTTCTCGCTGTCTCGCGTTCTCGCTTCTCGCTTCTCGCTGTCTTCCTTCTTCTTCTTCTTCTTCTTCTTCTTCTTCTTCTGCTTCCTGCTTCTTGCTTTCTTGCTTTCTCGCTTTCTCGCTTTCTTTCTTTCTTTGGTCTTTCTTGCTTTCTTGTTTTTTCTTTTTTCTTTTGATTGGCATTTTATTTTATTTTATTGAAAGCATTACAGATGTTCCCCTTTTCCCCCAATGTCTCCTTCTAGCTGTTCTGGTTTCTTTCTGGAAGCTAATTTATAGTCAGTCTCTCTCTCTCTCTCTCTCTCTCTCTCTCTCTCTCTCTCTCCCTGCAATTTCTTTCTTGAGATTGAGCTGTAGTACTTGTTGTTGGTGTTGACCTAAAGGCATATACTAGTAGAATTACTTAGTGGTTTTCTGACTTTCCCTTCTGATTTAGACTCTGAGATTGATTTGCTTGATTTTTTCACAAAGGCAATGCCATCATTTGTTTTTATTTCTATTTTTGAAGGTGAAGATATGTGCTCCAAATGCCGAGCAGCTGCACATGGTTAATCACTTGAAAAGTAGCCCAACAGCAGAGAAGAGAAATGCGCTGGAGGGAAGTGCCAGGAGGGCCTGGGACTCACCTAGTTTGGTAGGCCTGAGCTCCAGCGAGCTTGATGCTGTCATTATACCTGGTGACTTAGCTGAAAGCGGTGAGGCCAACTGTTCATTTTAATTAATGCTCACTGACTTCAGAATCCTCTTCACCAAAGGGTGGTGCAGGCTCAGCTACCATCTTGAACTCTCTGTGTCAGGCTCTAGGTCTGCGGCTCTCAAACTTTCCTGCACATGAGAATCATTCAGGGAGTTTAAAAAATTTCTTGTGCTTGGGTCACACTTGAAATCAGTAACATCAGATTCTTTGGGGCTAGAAACAGACATTTATATATATATATTTCAGAGAGGAAGGGAGAGGGACAGAGAGAAACATGAACGATGAGAATCATTGATTGGCTGCCTCCTGCACGCCCCCCACTGGGGGTGGAGCCCGCAACCCAGGCATGTGCCCGTGATCAGAATCAAACCCAGGACTCTTCAGTCCACAGGCCGATGCTCTATCCATTAAGCCAAACCGGTTAAGGCGAATTTTATTTGCCACATCAAAAACACACAGTGAAATAAGGAAGGGCATAAAAGAAGCAACAGGAGAGCCCAGGCTGGGCTGCTTTGGCTCATTGGGAAGTCAGAGAAATGGGGGCCTCGAGACAGGTTCAGGGGGTTAGTCCGGGACAAGCTGTCACTGCCCATGGCTCCCCTGGTTCCAAGTATCCTGAGGTTCCTTAAAGGGACGAAGTGAGGAAGGAAATGGCTTGGCATGTTTCCCTGGGGGAGAATGTGTGCTGGGTCCTTTGTGTTGAGGGTATTGTGTTGAGTCTCTTGAAGGTGGGACTCTTAGGGGAGGTTTCAGGGTAGGGTCCTATAGATTATTCATCAGCTTTCCAGGTGTGCTCTTTCAGGATCATGGCCTCCACTGATTGGTCATCGAGAGGGCAGGGGGTCATTAGTTAATGCATCTGGTCTTGAGGCAACAAAGGCATCTGGTTTTGCTGCTTTTCTTGTCCTGGAGCTGAAATACAACTGAGACCTTTTCAGTTCAAGGATCACTGATAGATAGGTGACCCTATCTTTTAAATTAAAGATTGATTTACTAGTATAATTTAATTTTTAAAATTTAATTCCCTTCATAAAAAGCTATCCTATCTAATAAAGAGGGAATATGCTAATTGACCATCATGCCCTCACAAGATGGTGGCACCCTTCATAAAAAGCTATCCTATCTAATAAAGAGGGAATATGCTAATTGACCATCATGCCTTCACAAAGATGGCGGCGCTCAGTCCCATCAGCCCCGCTGGGGCAGCAGGTGTGTGGCATCGCCCACCTGATGCCCGAGGCACAGGCCGCTCTGTGTGCCTGCCTCCAGAGTCGCCCAGCCGATGCCCGAGGCACAGGTAAGCCTTGGATGGCGGCTGCCCAGCTGCCCAAGGCCACCGGAGGCTCAGGTAACCAGGGCCGCCCGAGGCTTGCGCTACTGGTAGAGGTAGCAGCAGAGGTATGATGGGGGCGTCACCTTCCCCTGATCTTCCGGTCGCCTCCCGCCCCTGAGGGCTCCCGGACTGTGAGAGGGGGCAAGCTGGGCTGAGGGACCCTCCCCTCCAGTGCATGAATTTTCATGCACCAGGCCTCTACTATGTTATATATTTATATTTTCCAAACTAAATAATAAAATCAATTGTATTTTAAGATTAGAGGCCCGGTGCATGAATTTGTGCATGGGTGGGGTCCGGCCGACCCTCCCCAATGAGGGCCAATCGGGGCAGGGCTGGCAGGGGGAAGGGGACATGGGAAGTTGGCTGGCAGACCCTGCCCCTGATAGAGATGGGGGAGCTGATCGTGGGGCCAGGCTGGCCGGGCCGTGGGAGGTTGAAGGGGGCTGATTAGGGCCCCGATCAGGTTGGTTGGCCGCTGCAGTGCACATCATAGTGACTGGTCATTCCAGTCGTTCCATTGTTCCAGTCGCTTGGTGTTTATATATATGTAGATTATTCTAAACGTGCACAATATTCTTGAAATTTTTGGAGGCAATTTGGAGATGTCCCAGCGAGAACTGAGAATCATTGCTTTAGATCAGGAGTGTGTTGCTTGTGGATACTTACACATATTTATCTAAATAAGTTGCTTCTTGTTGTTTTACATATAAAGTAGTTCAGATATCTATTGCTATGTAACAAATATCACCAAAATTTAGTGGCTTAAACAACAACTTAGTATCTTCCTGGTTCTGTTGGCTGACTGGGCATAGCTGGGCTTTGCTTGAGGTCTCTCATGCAGTTGCAATCAGGAAGCAGCGGGGGCTGCAGACATCTGAAGGCTTTACTGGGCTGGAAGATACCACAGTGGGTGTGGGCTTGGGCTGGGATTGGCTGGAACAACTGAGGGCTGGCTGGGTGGCCATTCCACCTGGTGAGCTTGGGCGTCCTCATAACGGTAGCCCTTGGGAAACATTTTCTCCCGCTCAGATCTTCTTTTCTGATAGGTTTGCTGATGCAGACCAAGCAACTGCTGTAAAAGAGCCGAGATGCAAACACAGCTGCGGGACGTGAGTGAATCTGCCAGGATGCCACCAAGCGGTGCAGACATGCGCTTTCCTGGCACGGCCCCTCTGCGTGAAATTTGTGATGAAATGAGGGAAAGGGTGGGGATGTTTCGTAATGTATTTGAAAAATGATGCTTTAGTTATAATATTTAGAAGAAATTATGCACGTGAAAATATTTTTGCTCTGACCAAATGAATTACATACACATTCTATCATGTGATGATAGATACTTTCAGTGTGATCTTGATCCAAAGATGAAATAACCATTATTGAATTTTTTAGACACATAGTGTTCCTATACAAACACATTGTCATTTTTATTTACTTATCTCAAAGGCTTTTTCCTGAACCTCCAGGTTGGTTCCAATATTGAAAGGAATTTTTAGGGGTAAAATAGGCAGGTTTAGGAAATCTTAGGAATTAAGGGGTCCATGGAAAAAGCACAGGGCTACAGAGCAGCAGAAGATAACATTTCCATAAGATAAGGGAGCTGGGACTTGCAGAAGGTACATTTCCATAGAATAAAGAGCTGGGACGGTACATTTCCATAAAATAATAGAGCAGGAGCTGCAGAAGGTATACATTTACAGAATTAAGGGAAGGAAGCCCCTTATTCAGAAAGGGAAGAGGAGAGCCCAAAGGGACTAGGAAAACAATAAGGGAGAAGAAGAGGAGAACTTCACACACCTCACCTGAGGTTTGAGCTCTGAAGTTGCTATAGTGACCAAATTAGAGGGGATAGTGACCAGTCAGAGGGGATGCCAGGGCACAAAGAACTGCAGCCTTTATAAACCGTGGAAAAAAGGGACTTAGTGGGACTCTCTCCCCCTCCCCACGTGGGAGTCTGTGCTTGTTTCTCAATAAATTTCCATCTTTTACTGTACCACCTTCTATCCGTGGTGTCATTCTTCGACTTCACGGGACAAGAACCCGAAAGAACACCACACGTTCCAGTTTAATTTTCCCATTTCAATATGAGCAACAACTATAACTGTGGTGGATTGACTTGTGTTTAATAATAATGACAACAAAAAGCAAGGAGAATTTTTTAAGTGACAGGATGATATCTGAACGTTGGTTTCTGCATTTACAACTGAACAAGATGACTAGACTAGTTTTCATTGTTTCTGCGAAGGTATTTGTTCTGCTCTGCGCTTCAGATAAGGCCATGATCTATTTTTTACGTTACTGTGTATCATACGTTCTTCTGATGTGCTATGTAGCCCTCTAGAGTTTATCGGGAGCCAGTGCAGCTGCTCCTGAAACACCCCCTGCCTTGGAGGTGTTTTGAATGATCACTTTCTGTGAATGATCCCTATGCTATTTTTCTTTTTAATCCTCACGAGAGTGAGGGTGGAGGGGCTCAATGGAGGGGGGCGGGGGACGGGGACATCTGTAATACTTTCAACAATGAAGATACATTTCAAAAAAAAAACAGTTGGCAAAAATGTGCAAGAATTAGTCATGAAGGAAATGCAAATTAAAATCACCATGAGATACTATTGCACACTTACCAGACTGGTTAAAATGTAAAAAAGTGACAATTCTAAGTGTTGATGAGGATATGGAGAAACTAGGACCCTGAGACATTGCTGGTGGAAATGTAACATGATAGAGCTAGTTTAAAAACAGTTTTTTATAAAGTTGAACATATACTTACCAGATGGCCCAGCGTTCCCACTCTTAGGTATCTACCCAAGAGACATAGAAAGATATGCCTACAGAAGGACATGCATGAGATTGTTCATGGAGGCTTTATTCGTAATAGCCCCAAACTGGAAACAACGCTACCCATTAACTAGTGACGGGTAAACAAAGTGTGGTACCTCTGTTACAGGCAGCCAGAGACCCCCGAAAAGGTATCATCGGACAACCCCCTCAGTTGAAGGGAGAGGGTGGTCTCCTTCTCAATTCTTATCTTCTAGTATAAACGAATTTAAAGGAGAGACCCTGATTGTATTATGACAAGGCCAATTTATTAAAGCAAGCAAATTTATTAAAGAAGCAAGGCAAGCAAGTCTGTTTCAGTTCATTGGGCTCAGAGGGCAGACAGGCTTTTCCAGCTAACCCCGGAGAGCAAATGCCATGTGCGGGTTTGAGGAGTTCTATACTCCCCTGTCTATGGGTTTCAAGAATTCCTCTGTTGAATATCTTGGTATAGATTAATTTTCAAGGTCCCTTTTTACTTCTCAGAATTCATGAGAAGCACCTGGCAGTTTTATCTTGCCAAGCCTTGAGACTGCTGGCTTCTCTGTTAGTGAGTTAAACAACAACAAAAAAATAATAAAACTTCCTTCTTTTCCTTTCCCCTTCCTCCCTCTTTTTCTGCATTCTCTCATTAGGGAGGTTTTTAACCATTTTCTCTCAAGTGTCCTTGGCTGGGAAGATAAAAGCTTGTTATTTACAAGCCAGCTGTAAATTGCCCACACCATTGGCCTTGTTTTAACTTCTTTATCTCAGTTTCCCTATTCATCTTGCCCTGGAATTTTCCTAGCTTTTCACTGCCCTGTAACATATCCATATGATGGAGTGTTACTCAGCAATGCAAGGGAATAAAGTGCTCTGATACATATGTAGAAAAATCTTAAAAATTTATGCTAAGTGAAAGAGTCAGACACATAAGCCTACATATTGTATGATTCCACTTACTAGAGAAAATATTTGGAAAAGATAAAACTATTGAGATAGAAAGCAGATTATTGCTTGCTGAGAGCTGGAGAGGGAACTGGGGATTGATTGCAAGCAGTCATGAGGAATTTTTTTAGAATGATAGAAGTATTCCAAAAACTGAATTATGGTGATGTTTGCACAAATCTATAAATTTATTAGAACTCATTGAACTGTATACCTAAAATGGATGAATTAATAGTATGTAAAGTTGATATTAATAAAGCCAAGAAACATTTTTAACAATGTGTTCATGGTCTATCTTTTTAACTGAGCATTTAGTCCATTTACTGTTTTTGTAATTATAGATATACTAGAGGCCCAGTGCACAAAATTTGTGCATGGGGGGGTGTTGTCCCTCAACCTGGCCTGCACCCTCTCCAATCTGGGACCCCTCGGGAGATGTCTGACTGCCGGTTTAGGGCAGGCTGGGCTGAGGGACCCTCTCCAAGTGCATGAATTTTGTGCACCAGGCCTCTAGTTTACTATAAAAGTCCCTGCTAATGTTACAATTTTAAACCCATAAGACATTTGATTATTTTATACAGTCAATATTTATTTAATTGTAGACATATACATTTTTTGTTGTCATTCACATATATATGTATATATAGTACAGAGAGGAAGGGAGAGGGAGAGAGATAGAAACATCAATGATGAGAGAAAATCAATAATTGGCTGCCTCCTGTACACCCACACTGGGGATTGAGCCCACACCCTGGGCACATGCCCTGACCAGGAATTGAACTGTGAACTCCTGATTCATAGGTTGACGCTCTTGTTGTCATTCTTTATTATATCTCAGACTCTTCATTCATTATTCATTTCTCAAAAACCTTTCTTTTTAATAATGAAAGGTGACATAATGCAGTGGTTAAGAGCGTGGCTTCTGAAGCAAAGCCGCTTTGTTTTTTAAACTGCTTTTTATTTCTGCTTTACAAAATAGAGAAACTATGGCAGAAGGATACCTAGTAACATCTAATAAGTTGCAGAGGCAGGATTTTAACCCACTAAGCTCTTATATTTAAACCCAACAGCATCCCCTCCACCGTGGAGAGCTTCTATAACCCCTGATCTAAGAAATCTGTCGGTGGTACAGCAGACCAGAGCCCTTCTCCACTGTCAGCAAAAAAAATGTACAGGTTCAAAGTCTTCTCACACCTGAGGTTCATGAAGTTCATAAAATTCCTCTGAAAATATTAATTTTATAAGGAAGTCACAGGTGACTTGAAATTCAGCTTTATGAATGCTTATAGGTCATTGGAACAGTCTTGCAAATGAACAGGACAAGACTCCTTTCATAGATATCCAGTTCTGTCTGGACTCCCTCCACCATGCTGCATTTAGTTCTGGGCAAACCAAGAGCAGACCTTTGCTCTGGGAAGCCAATCATTGAATTTCTCCAAATATAAAGTCATTTAGATATTGTACTATGGAATTATTAAATGCTAGATAGATTGTGAAATCATCTCTGATGGAGAGGGTCCTTTCAGAAGTGAGGTTAACACAGAACAGTCCTCTAGACCTTCCAGGTTGTCTACTATCTTTATAAGTCTTTCTACTGCATCACAGGACAGCATCCCGGAGGCATTGGCTCTGAACTTGGCCTCTAGGTCCTTCTGGCTCAGTGGCTTCCTCCAGTGACCATAGAAGGTATCAGCGCGCTCCGTGAAGGTGGCTCCATCCTTGAGGGTGACGCTTATCTCACAGTATAGTGTGTTGAAGTTTGGCAGGTTGTCCTGAGGATGCTCCAGCTCCACCTTGCAAAGTAACTCTCTCACCTGCGGCCTGTTGATCTGGTGTTTGTGGAATGATGAAACCGTGATGCCACCATCGAGCAGCATGGCACAGGCCACATACTGGAAGGAGTGACGGGCTTCATGCTCCGAGTCTGGGAAAGGCCGGTTTACGTACTGGACATCTGGAATTCTGAGCACAATTCTCTCAACGTGGTCAATGGGACACATGGCTCTGTCTGTTACAAGGTGCTTCCTCACAGATGCAGCGGCGTCTGCCACCCAGTGGGTGGCCAGATGTGCAGGGAAACTCTTGAAAGCCACATCCTGCTGGTCCAGGAGCCAAGTGTAAGAATCTAGGTTTGGAAGGACTTTGGGGGAGTAGTTGGTATAGAAGGCCCCGAATCCAGTCTGCGTGTCCAAGACCTGCTTGTTTCCCTGGAGACCCAGCATTGCCAGAAAAACAGCTTCTATCCCATGCCTGGCAGCATTGCCCATGTGAAGAGGCTTGGTCTGAGTGGCGGCATTTGCCATAGGAGCCCCGGCATGAGAAACAGCAATAGCCAAGGCCTTCTGGCAGTTTGTCATGCTGAGCCCTAAAATCTTGGATGCAGCAGCAGCACTACCCAAAGTTCCTACCACCGACGGGGGATGGAATCTGAAAAGCAAAAGGCAGTATTAGAGATTTACAAACCTCAACCACCAGGAGGCAGTATAGTGTAGCGATCAGGAACTTAGATCATGGGGCTATACTTCAAATCTCAGCTCTTCCACTTACTAGCTGAGTGATCTTGGGGAAAGTTATTCAACTTCTCTGTACTGTTTTCTCTTACTAAAATGGCAATAATAATAGTATCTACCTTACAGGGTTTTGTGAGTTTTGAATGGATTCACATGCTTACAACAGTGCCGGAAACAGTAAATTCTTTTTTTTTTTTTTTAATATATTTTATTGATTTTTTACAGAGAGGAAGGGAGAGAGATAGATAGTTAGAAACATCGATGGGAGAGAAACAT